CCCAAAAAAAAAAAAAAAAAAAAAAAAAAGAAGACACAATTCCAGGAGAAGAGGGGCCCAAATCCACACAGAGCTCCCAAGCGTGAGTTTTTAGGAGTGGGCCTGACATTGTTGATCTTGCAGAGGTCCAGCGAACCAAGGCGGGATCTTTGACGGCTCCTTGGCGGTTGGGGTGGTTGTACTGAAGCAGGTACTCTCACTTCATCCGGCCCTTGTGGCCAGCCGCTCGACTTGCGTCTGTCGGGTTTCTGGAGATATGTGGTATTCGGCCGAGTCAAGGGTTGGGGCAGAGTAGCCAGGTGCGCCGGAGGGCACAACTGCGCCTGCATGATTCTCACACAAAATTATTTTTAAATGTTACATTTACCTTCAGGCTAAGTGTATGGGGGATATATGAAATGTAAATGAATTTCATGTTTAGACTTGGGTCCCATTCCCAAGATACCTCATTCCAAAATCTGAAAACATCCGAAATCTGAAACACTTCCGGTACCAAGCATTTTGGAGAAGGGATTCACAGCCTATACTGCATTTTCAGAGGTTTTTCAGCCACAGGGAATCCTTTGAGTCCTCTGGTATTACTCTCTTCCGCAAACATCCAGTTCAGTGTACTACAGTTCATCAAGATCACAATTAACGATCAGATCCTATGCTTTTTTTTTTTTTTGAAATGAAATCTTGCTCTGTCACCCAGGCTAGAGTGCAATGTTGTGATCTTGGCTCATTGCAACCTCTGCCTCCCAGGCTGAAGCAATTCTCCTGCCTCAGCCTCCGGAGTAGCTGGGATTACAGGCCTGCACAACCATGCCTGGCTAAATTTTTTTGTACTTTTATTAGAGACTGGGTTTTACCATGTTGGCCAGGCTGGTCTCAAACTCCTGTCCTCAAGTGATCCACCTGCCTCGGCCTCCCAAAGTGCTGGGATTACAGGCATGAGCCATTGCGTCTGGCTTCCCCATTTGAACTTTTGAAGCTAGTCATGCTGTGTGGTATGAGCTTAAGGGGAAGAAGAGATGCCCAAATTAAGGAAACTCAGTCTTCTAGCTGCTTTTGCCAGTGCCGTGTGTGTTCTTTCTGGGTATGGCATTGAATTTTAGGCTGGGCTGTGCCTTTGGCAGTGCAGGGTCTCCTGCTTAGAGGCCCTTTGTCTGACCTGTGGTGACACAGCAGTAGCAAAGCTCAGGGTGTGTAGTGGGCGTGTGGTGGCCAGTGCATCACCTGCACATATGCAGGGAGGAGCCATTGGCCTGCCCGGGCACGCCCACCCAGTTGTGAGTTGCTGAAGCCACAGTGCCTGCGGGTGGCTGCCTGGTGTATCTGAGCTGGGCCATCAGTTGCCTTGTGGCCTCTGCCTCTGCCTTTCCAACTCTCACTTGTCCTCCTGCTCCCACATGAAGATGGGGGGAGGAGGCGTTGGGAACACGTTGTCCTCCTGCTATGCTTCTGGCTGGCAGTCAGATGGGACGGGGAAGCCGTGGTGCACACAGGTGTCAGGAGGGGGTTCCTGGGCCATGCTTGGGAGGAGCCGGGAAGCTGGCGTATGTGTAGGGGCAGAGCCCTGTGCCACACAGGTTTCAGAAATCTTTTTGCAGACGGCAGTGAGAACTTGAGACTTGAGTGAGAGGGTTGTCAGCCTGGTGTTGAAGAGCTGGGTTGGGAAGTCGCCCACCCAGGAGGTGAACATGGCAGGGGGCGGAAGCCATGTAAAAGCAGTAGGGCCTTGGTTATGGGGTGTCAGATCTTGCGTGTGCCTCTGGGCCTTTGGGTAAGGATGGGGTGTACCCGTCCGAGCAGCGGTAGATCAGGCCTGTGACCAACTCTTACTCTCAGGGAATGGCTCGGGGGACTGTCAGGCGTGAGCCGTGGCCCTGGTTTCTCACTGTGTGGTCCATGAATGGGGACTTCCTGACTTCTCGTCAGCTCTCCTCTTTGAAAGCACACTTGACCCTGAACAATTTTACATATCTGTCAATTGAATGTCATGTGGTTACAGGGCCCAGTCAGCCTGAGGAGCAGGGGTCCAGCAGCTCTGCGGAGGCGTCTGGAACGGAGGAGGAGGAGGAGGAGGTGCCCAGCTTCATCATGGGGCGATGACGTCTGCTGCAGCTGCTGCCTGGAACCCAGCTCGTGCTGAGAGCAGAAGGGAAAGGCGGCTGTTTGACTTTCTCCCCCCGAGAGGTCCCGCTGGATGGACAGCAAAGGAGACCCTCCCGAGCTGCTTGCAGTCCTGCCTGTAGCAGGGTTGGGAGGCCGAGGGGCCACCTCCCCGGCACACGAAGGCACTGCCTTGCAGACGGCATCCACTCTCCTGGTAAAAGGGGACAGAGAGCTTCACCTTGTCATATTTGAATGGCGATGAGTTTGGGGCTGGTTTCTGGAAAAAGAACATTTATTTAGTAAAGAGCAGAACACCCTTGGGTTTTGTTGGGATGTGTGGACTGTGAGTCACAGATACTCTGGAGAAGGCTAGGAGATGCCACCATTCCCACAGGGACTGAAAACTCCACAGGCCCCATTATGCGGACCTGGTCCCAGGCTCAGTGAGGAGGTGCCCTCAGCTGTGGGGCTGGCCTGTGTTGCCAGCCCAGGCCCCCACTCACCCTCGTGGGAAGTGGGGACCATGCCCAAGAAGGTCTGCTCCCACCACAGCTCCCGGTGCCCCGTGTGTTCTGGGAAGCCCCGGGTGTGCGCAGGAAGGCCTGGGCTGGGAACTCCACCAGGGACTGGGCCACAGGAAGGGCGTGTGGTGTGTGGAAAGTGCTGTGGAGGAAGAGCAGGTGGCCAGAGGATGACCAGCCGGAGAATCCAGGCTGGGCTGAGCCAGAGCAGAGGGCGGGGGAATCCCAGCCGTACTGGGGTTCTTTACCAACAGCTGCGTTTTCATCCCGAGGTGGAACGGGGTCTAAACAAATGGGCTGAGTGGCAGGACTCTGTCAAGTGGGTGGAGCTCCTCAGGACTGAAACCGCTCGGGGCTTTCCTTGGGGTCACAGCAGCTGGGCCGGCAGGGAGGGGGTGGATCTGCTGTGTCCTCAGGTGGTGCAGCCCCAGATCAGTGTCCAGGCGCTGGGCCCATGCAGAGAAGGCACCTGCAGAGAGCAGGGCAGCCCGGCACAGCGACTAGTGCCTAGAATCCCAGCTCCTCGGAAGGCCAAGGTGGGAGGACCACTTGAGTCCAGGGATTCAAGTCCAGCCTGGGCAATAGAGCGAGACCCTGTCTCGTAAAAAACGATGATGATAAACACAGAGGCCGGGGCACTGTGCTGGGAGCCAGGGTGCCTGGGGGGAGCTGAGACCAACCTTTGACCTCCATGTTTCAGGCCAACAGGGGCAACAGAGAGAGTTTCTAGGTAGGGCCTTGGCTCCAGTTTTGGATGATTTCGCTCTAAGTTTCTAAGTATATTTTGCGCCCTTTACACACTTTGATAGAATTAAGGAAATAGTGGTTTTGAATGAAGGGAAAGGAAACCCAGAAACATTTGACATTTTATTTCTGTGGTGTAGATTTCCCCGGCTCCTCGCTGAGCCCTGTGACATCTGTGATAGCTCCTGTCCCTTCATTGGTTCATGTCACAGGGATTTTCTTTCCCAGGAAGCGGACACGGAGAAGCAGCCTTAATAAATGAGCACACGCCCTGGCCGCACATTTGAAACCTGTTTTTCTCTGTCTGGGACTGGCTTTGCGTTTCAGTTTTATTTCTCCTGTCTTTGGACTGTTGGTTTCCGCCCCTCTCCCCGCCTCCACGTGGTCACAGCCCCTGCTCTGAATCTGCAGCCTGCAGCTTGTGGGCATCCTCAGTGCTGCGGAGGTTGCTGGGGCTTGGAGCCAGATGACCTGGCTTTGAGCCCTGCCTCTGGTAAGCCAGGGGACTGGGCAAGTCCCTTCCTGACTCTGCCAGCTCACTCGGCCAAGAGAGATGCTGGCTGCAGGCATGTGGGGTGGGTGGGCACATGGCGACACAAAGGATGCCAGATTGCGGTGGGTTTCGTCCCCACTGGGTGCGAAGAAGATGGTGATGTTTAGGCAGATCGTGTCCTGTAGCCATTTCTGGCCATTATTAATAGGTCATCAGGACCTTGAGACAGTCTGTCTTTAGGGCATCATTTATTTGGGAAAAGAGGAACAAATGTGTCATCATTGAGAAAGGAGTGGGTAATACTGAGAGCCCCTGCCCTCCCCAAAAAAACAGGATTAGGGGAGAATCATGAAGTAATGTCCCACATGGCTCGTGGGTGGGGGGAGTCGGGAACTGAACACAGAGATGTATGTAACAACCGTCTCAGAAAACCGCACGCACAAGAATTCTTTTGGCCAGGCACAGTGAACTCCCACCTGTAATCCCAGCACTATGGGAGGCTTAGGCAGAAGGATTGCTTTAGCCCAGGAGTTTGAGACCAGCCTGGGCAACATAGTGAGACCCCATCTCTACAAAAAAAATTTTTTTTTTTTTTTTTTTAAAGATGGGGTTTCACCGTGATGGCCAGGCTGTTCTTGAACTCCTGACCTCAGGTGATCCACCCACCTCGGCCTCCCAAAGTGCTAGGATTACAGGCGTGAACCACCACGCCCGGCCTCTACAAAAAATTTTAAAATTAGCTGAGTGTGATGGTGTGCACCTATAGTCCCAGCTACTTGGGAAGCTAAGGTGGGAGGATCCTTTGAGCCAGGAGTTGAAGGCTGCAGTGAGCCATGATCACTCCACTGCACTACAACTTGGGCAACAGAGTGAGACCCAGTCTTAAAAACAAACAGATCTGAGTTCCCGGGTGATGCCCCAGAGATTCTGCATAATTTATGATCCACTCCCAAATACACATTTAAACAGGTGCCCCAGGAGATTCTACTACAGAACCCTCCCCTTTTTTTTTTTTAAAGCTACTGGAAATCAACCGCTTAATTAGTTCATTCTGAGACAAAACCTTGCTCTGTCACCCAAGCTGGAGTGTGATGGTGCCATCATGGGTCACTGCAGCCTTCAACTCCTGGGCTGAAGCCATTCTCCCACCTCACCCTCCCTAGTAGCTGGGACTACAGACATGCACCACTATGCCTGGCTAATTTTTGTATTTTTTTGTAGAGATGGAGTTTTGCCATCTTTCCGAGGCTGGTCTCCACCTTCTGGGCTCAAAGGACCCTCCCACCTCCGCCTTCCAAAGTGCTGGGATTATAGGTGTGCACCACCGAGCCCTGCCCTGTTACCATTTTAAATTTACTTCCATTTCCAACATTTATATTTTGGTAAACAAAAACAAGACATTAAAATTGAGTTAGAGGAGTGACTTTCTAGTAACTCTTGGAGATGGAAACAGAACTCAGTCCAATTCCTTTGCATTCATCACAGAAACACTGTGTTTTCTCCTTCTCCCTCTTGGAAGTTAATTTCTGTTTACTATTTGGCATACTTGACTAAAGTGAGCCACGATTACCATATATTAACATATACTTCAGTAGCGAGAACACTCTTGGAAATTAACCTGGAGCAAGTTCCAGGAGGCCTCCCGTTTTCTTACTCCACCAAAGGTAGCAGATCCACTGGGCCCACGTGGTGGCTCATGCCCGTAACCCCAGCACTTTGGGAGGCCTAGGTGGGAGGATTGCTTTAGCCCAGGAGTTCAAGACCAGCCTGAGCAACACAGTGAGACCTCCATCTCTACAAAATAAAAATTGAAAAATGCGCCTGGTGTGGTGGCGTAGTCCTATCTACTTGTGAGGCTGAAGTGGGAGAATCACTTGAGCCTGGGAGGTCGAGGCTGCAGTGAGCTATGATCATGCCACCACACTCCAGCCTGGGTAACAGGGCAAGATCTCTCAAAAATAAAAGGTTGGGTGCAGGGGCTCATCCCTGTAATCACAGCACTTTGGGAGGCTGAGGCCAGGAGTTGGAGACCAGCCTGGCCAACCAACATGGAGAAACCCCATCTCTACTAAAAATACAGAAATTATCCACATGTGGTGCATGCCTGTAATTCCAGCTACTCAGAAGGCTGAGGTAGGAGAATCACTTGAACCCAGGAGGCAGAGGTTGCAGTGAACCCACTGCACTGCAGCCTGGGCAACAGGAGTGAAACTCCATCTCAAAAAAATATAATAAAAACATAGCAAATGTTTATTGAGCACCAACTATGTGCAAAATCCAAAGGATTCCAAGGCCCATTGCCAGGCACTGGGGATGGTGGCGGACAAGACAGTCCTAGCCTTCAAGGGGCTCCAGGTCTGAGCAGAAACAGGAGCCAGGGAGAGCAGCACAGCGTGGTGTGGGCACCTGACCCAGGCCTCCGCGAAGGCGAGGGCCGAGCTGAGCTCTTAGGTGGCTCAGGAGAGCAGGAGTGCCCAGAAAGCAAGCTGGGGTTGGGGGAGGCGCCCCTGCCATGGCAGGGGCTGGAGTGGAGAGACACAAGGGGACCTTTGAGTTTGTGAAAGCGGACAAGCTCCTGCCTTGCCATGCAGAGCAGAGGTGATGGTACCCTGAGTGCAGAAGCAGGTGGGCACAGGGAGAAGTGGGGGATGGGCCAGCGCCATGGAGGTGGGAGAATTCACACGACCTGCTGGGGAGGGAACCTTTCTGAGACAGCCGACCCAGCTGGTGTGAGGAAGGAGACTCCCTCCCTCCTGAGCTTCTAAGACCACTTCCGCTTAGCCTTCTCCATTGCATTTCAAAAGGAGAAGTAAAAGTTGAAAATTGAAGGCCCAAGGTCAGTGGAGGAGACAAACCCCCAACGCTTCATCGTACTCCTATCTATAGACTGCAGGCGTAATATGGGGAAACGCCCTCCATCGTTCTCCCTCAGTCTTGCAACCCCCCCCCCGACCACCTAAGTCCACGTACCCCTCGCTCACCTCATCGGTCACAGCCCTCTCACATGTGCTCTCTCAGATTGTGAGCCTTTAAAGGAGGCCAGGATTTTCTAGCTGGGGAGCTTGGTTATCGAGGCTTGAGCCAGCCACAGCTCCCGGCCAAATAAAACTGCTGCTTCCTTCCCAGTTCAGTGTTGGAAAGGTTTGTTCGCTGCCACTCCTGCTTCAGGTGGAGGAGGAATGTGAGGGAAGATGACAGATTCAGCTGTGGGCCTGGTGAAGTGGAGGGCCCTGGTGTGTGTGCTGGAAAGAGAGATCAAGGCTGGAGGTGATGCTGGTTGTCAGGCTGCCCTCGTCCTTGGAACTATGGGAGTGGATGAGGCCAGTCAGAGAGGAGTGAAGAGAGGGGACCCAGACAGAACAATGAGAATCACGTATCGAGGGGACAGAAAACAGGGACGAGCAAGCAGACTCACAAGATTTCCTGGTGGAAGGAAGGGTCCCCAGTGACAGACAAGGCTGACCGCTGAAACATCCTCTGGGTTTAGGAGCTTGGTTTAAGCGAGTGGATCACTTGAGGTGAGGAGTTGGAGACCAGTCTGGCCAACATGGCGAATCCCTGTTCTCTACTAAAATATATATATATAAATTAGCTGGGCGTATTGGTGGGTGCCTGTAAGGGAGAGGCTGAGGCAGGAGAATCACTTGAATTTGGGAGGTGGAAGTTGTAGTGAGCCGGGATCACACCATTGCACTCCAGCCTGGATGACAAGAAACCAAAAAAAAAAAAAAAAAAAAAAAAAAAAAAAAACAATTATAGGCCAGGTGTGGTGGCTTAGCTCACCCCAGTAATCTCAACACTACTTTCGGAGGCCGAGACTGGCAGATCACTTGAGGCCAGAAGTTTGAGACCGGTCTGGCCAAAATGGTGAAACCCCGTCTCTACTAAAAATACAAAAATTAAGACCGGGCGCGGTGGCTCAAGCCTGTAATCCCAGCACTTTGGGAGGCCGAGGCGGGTGGATCACGAGGTCAAGAGATCGAGACCATCCTGGTCAACATGGTGAAACCCCATCTCTACTAAAAATACAAAAAATTAGCTGGGCATGGTGGTGCGTGCCTGTAATCCCAGCTACTCAGGAGGCTGAGGCAGGAGAATTGCCTGAACCCAGGAGGCGGAGGTTGCGGTGAGCCGAGATTGCGCCATTGCACTCCAGCCTGGGTAACATGAGTGAAACTCCGTCTCAAAAAAAAAAAAAA